TCAAGTTGACATAAAACTAGCCAGTACAACCCACTTATAAGCCAGGGTAGTTACAGGGCAAAAAGGGAAGGGTGGGTGGGGGAGGAGGTTGAAAACTTTCCTTTTTGGTCTGTTGTTAGTCATTGCTCAGACTAACCACCGAGGAGTAGTCAGTTCAAGAATGTTACATGGTTGATAAACATCTTTCCTAGTTAAATATTACCTGAGGCTCACAGGACAGGGGAGTAGTAAAGAATCCAGAGAAGCTGGTAGTGTATCCTTTAATTTCAGCACTTGGCAGGCAGAGACAGGTGGATCTCTGCAAGTTTAAGGTCAGCCTAGTCTACATAGTGAGATGCCTAGAAGGAAGGAAGAAGGAAAGAAAGAAAGAAAGAAAGAAAGAAAGAAAGAAAGAAAGAAAGGAGGGAAGGAGGAAGGGAGAGAGGGAGGGAGAGAAGAAGGGAGAGAGGGAGGCAGGAAGACTGAATGAACCTAGAAAAGCAAGTTAACTTACTTCTGGAAACCAAATTACTATAACCATTGGAATTGTCATAATTGAATAAAAATGGAGGAGCTTACAAAATGGCAGAGCCCTGGCTAACAGAGCCTGTTATCATTAGTTTGCTAAATGGTCATGTTGTCAAACTGCCTTCCCACTATTTGTGTTGAAACCCACAGGCCCAGCCTTGCTCAGCTCTGTCACACAAGTGTCTTTCTGCAGTGGGTAGCAGTCAGTACAGATTCATAACTGCAGGTCAAAGTGCTGAGACTTGGGCAGAGTTGAGGGAGAGAAATAGAGGATAGATATTATTGTGTTTTGTTGTATACATGCATGAAATTCTTAAATAATAAATCTGAAAAAGAAAAACAACAAAAAGGGAAACATCTAAATGAGGAGGCAGAGCTGAGCAGAAGGTGTGAGTAGTCAGACCAGCTCCACCTGCCATTCAGGTCTGCCACTTACTTTGTGACTTTGCCTTAGTTTCCCTGCCTGGGAAGCAGAAATGAAAATTCTTATGCAGAATTTACTACAAGGGTTGAGGTGATGCGTATGAAGAGGAACAGGAAAAGTGCACAGATAGAAAACACACCAGCCCCCACACAAATGAAAATTGTAGCGCATGAGATTTCAGTGTCAGAAACATCTCTAACACAGCTGACAGAGGCGTGGGATGCAGGCTGTGCTCCTGTGGCCTCTAAGATGAAATCTGACAATTGGCTGTCATTCATACAATGAAATTCTCTTACCACAGTGATGGCTCTGCACAGAAGATGCTCCTGAGCTCCCGGGACCGAGGCTGTCAAAAGTGTCACAGATCAACCTGAAACTGAGTAGATACTTTCTCATACTCCACAGGGCAGCGTGAGGTGGGAACGGTTCTTGACTGCCTCTTACTAGAGGCCTTGCAGAGTCAGGGATGGTCTTTGGGGAGTCAATTTACTGGGGAAGTAGGGTCTGAGCAATGCACAGCTTCCTTCTTGCATAGCCTCTGTGAACACAACATTCTGAATTTAGACAGAAATACCCCTCCCCCTGGTGCTTTCAAGAAGGCTTGAATCTCCTACTGTCTTAAGGCAGTGACATTCATTCTATGGGCAGGACTGAGGCTGACGAGGGAACTCATTCACTAGACACTGTGCCAAACTCATTCTATTGTTTTGTTTTGTTTTTTTTCTGTTGAACTTAGTTCAAGAACCGCCTAAGAGGTTCTTCTGTAGAGTTTTTAGCATGCACAAAGCATTGGGTTTTATTCCCACCAGATAAGAGGGTCTGGGGATGCAGGTGAGACTGTAGAGTTTTTAGCATGCGCAAAGCATTGGGTTTTATTCCCAGCAGATGTAGTGGTGCACGATTGCAGTTCCAGCACTTGGAAAGTGGAGCCAGGAGGACCTGGAGCTCAAGGCTACCTTCAGGTATATGGTCAGTTCCAGGCTAGCCTGGTATTCATGGGACCCTGTATTAAAACAAAACCATGAGAAATGCTCAACACTTCCTGTGTGCCACCCACACTCTTATGTTGCAATTTAATCTTAAAAATATCCCTCTCCAGGCACAGCACATGCCTATTATCCCGCCCCTCATCCTCAACTATATGCTGAGTTTGAGGCCACCCTGGGCTATAGTACACCCTAGACCATCAGCTCTCAATGTACGGGTCTGGACCCATTTGTGGGTCGAACAACCCCTTCACAGGGGTTGCCTAAGACCATTGGGAAACACAGATATTTACATTACAATTTATTAACAGTAGCAAAATTACAGTTACAAAGTAGCGGTGAAAATAATTTTATGGTGTGTGGGGGGTCACCCAACATGAGGAGCTGTATTAAAGTGTTACAGTATTAGGAAGGTTGAAAACCACTACCACAGACCCTGTCTTAAAAGTTAATTAAGGGGGCTGGAGAGATGGCTCAGTGGTTAAGAGCATTGCCTGCTCTTCCAAAGGTCCTGAGTTCAATTCCCAGCAACCACATGGTGGCTCACAACCATCTGTAATGAGGTCTGGTGCCCTCTTTTGGCTTGCAAGCATACACACAGATAGAATATATATATATATATATATATATATATATAGAATATATATGTTAATTAAGTTTTTAAAATTAATTTAATGAATCCTTTGAGTTTGTAGTAAGAGATTGCTTCATGACAGACATAAAGATAGAACATGTATATTTACGTGGGACTGGGTTAGGGTATAGGTCATGAGACTAGAAAGGGGCCTATAAGAGGAAAAAGGAGGGTTGGGAGGGGGTGATGGAATATAAGAGACATGAAAGTGTAAAGGGATTACTGGGGTGAAGGGTGCAAGGATGGGGGAGGGGACTGACTAAAATATATATGAAAATGCCATAAGGAAACCAGCTACTCTGTATGCTAATTAAAATAATACATAAAAAATGGAAGAATAGAATGCTCTAATTATAAAAAGGAAGGAATAAAGAGACTCTTCCCTAACTTGATTGATGACTGGAATCCATTTTTTTTCCTTTATAAAAAGAAGTTCCATATTTCAGTGACTGAGCTGCTTCTAGTTCCCTTTCCTCCCTCTAGCTGGTGGGGCTTTGTGGCCCATTTCTCTTCCATCTGTACTAGATAAGTAAGACTAATGAATCCGCCTGCCGTCTCACTAACTTGACGAGGACAGATAGATAGGGTGACAGGTTTTAATAAAATGCAGTCCCTGCAAAAAAAAATGAATGGGTGCCGCGAGGTCATTATACATGCTACACGAGATCCATCAGGGCAGGCATCCATCTTCGACAACATGGAAATGATTCTCTTCAGAAGTGAAGAATGAATAATGCTGTCCCAGGACGGCAAAGACCTTTAAACTCTGCGACCTTGTATGCCTTGAACCCCTGTCAAAGGGTTGATAAGTGTTTTCCCTAGGATTTTCTGTGATGGGACATAGTTCCCCTCACTGTGTTCTGTTTTGATTTTTTCTTTCAATTTTTTTTTGAGACAAAGTCTCGTGTAGCTCAGGTGTTGAACCCCTGATTCTCCCATCTCTGCTTCTCAGTGCTGGGATTACAAGCGTGTTTGCTCCTGGCTGAGTCCACGGTGGAACCGCCCTGATTCCTGGTGCCTCCCTGACTCCTCTGGGCCTGTCCATCTGCCTCTGCTTGCTTCTCCAGAGCATGTGGCTTTCATCACATCTTTTGTGCTCATGCCCCACCTTCTTTTCTATTTCAAATAACCTTCCAGCCTTTTCTTGCCCTGAAATTGCAAATTGAAAATTTCAAAAGCAATTTAAGGAGAAAAGGGTTTCTGTTGATTCGCGGTTTGAGGCCTTTGTTCCATGGTGGGGAATTATGGCGGCAGGAAGATGAGGTAGTTGGCTTTGCTGTATCCAGGGACAGGAAGCAAAGAATAATGAATATTGGTGCTCACAATCCCCCCACCCCGACCTGTCTCTGTCTCCCTCCCTTCCTCCTTTCCTCCCTTTCTTCCTCTCTTGGTATGCATGTATGTAAGTGGCATGTGTGTGTGCGTGTGTATCTGTGAGCGAGTGTTTGTATGGGTGTGTGCATGTGTGTGCATGTGAAGGTCAGTTTGGTGTCATGTGTCTACCTCAACCCCTCTTCATGTCATTTATTTGTTTGTCTGTGCAATAGTGTCTCTTTATATAGTTCTTACTGTCCTAGAGCTCTCTGTAGACCAGGCTGGCTTCCAACTCACAAAGATCCACCTGCCTCTGCTTCTTGAGTGCTAGGATTAAAGGCATATGCCTCTGACCTCTTATACCCTAGGCCTTTGCCTAGGTGTAGAGTGTGAAAGCGTGGCCTTTGGCCCAGCCGCGTCAATGGGACTGAATCACAGTTCGCATTGTCATGGGACTCTCAAGTCTTGGATGCATAACGAGCCTGTGAAGCCCAACCTACGCCAGCTGTAGAAAGAACTTACAGATCGGATAAAGGTCTGGTTAGCCCAGGGGGAGGCATCCTGGACCCCAGGGATTTACCACATACCCGGGATTGTTGGTGCTTTCTTGTGACACATGCTGCAGTCACTGACCCGAGTCAGTGCTTAGGAGACAGAATTGATTTCTATGAGTGAGGACCAATCAGCTGCCAGAGCTAAGTCATCTCATCACCATGCTTCCTGAGAACGTAGCAGAAGGATGCAGCCTCATTGGAGCTTGCTTGCTTGCCTGGCATAGGGAGGGTCTGGGTTTGCTCTCCAGCAGGCCCATGTGAACCCAATGAGCAAGGGATGGAGAGAGAATTAGTTAACACTAAAAAGGAACAAAGTATCTATGCTCTGGGGACAAAGTACCTATGCTTGGTATGGAGAGAGAATTCCTTAAGACTAAAAAGGAACAAAGTATCTATGCTCTGGGGACAAAGTATCTATGCTTCATCTCTAGAGAGAATTCTTTAACACTAAAAAGGAACAAAGTATCTATGCTGCTCCGAGGGATATATCCTATCATCTCACCTCAAAAGGCTGAGTGTGTGTGTGTGTATGTGTGTGTGTGTGTGTGTGTGTGTGGGTGGGGGGGTGTCACAAACTCAAACCCAGCCTTAGCTACTTAGTGAGGCCTTTGTCTCAGAATTAGAAAGTTTAGAAAAGAAAACGAGGCTGTAGCACAGCGGAGGATCCCTGTCATAATATGAGGCCCTGGGTTCAAGTCTGGATTCCACAAACAAGAAAGAAGAGGAGGAGGAGGAGGGAGAGAAGGAGGAGGAGGAACACACACTTGGTACTATTGTATGACTCCATTTCTATAACATTCTTGAACTAACGGAGACACAGAAATGCTGATCAGGTGTATGCTTGTCGGGAATAAAGTGCCTGGTATGTCGTATGTGGGACTGGCTGATGTGAGGAAAATATTTTTTTCTATCAGAGATAGCTAAGCCTGCCAAGAGGGAATATCCCATGAATCTTCACCTGCCTAGTAAAACTTAAATTTATGCAAAAGGCCCATCCCCCAGAACTTGATGGCCGGGAGTGCTGACTTCTTTCTACTTTTCTTAATTTCTTTTGTGCCAATTCCTTTAAAACTAGCCAAACTGAATGACTATAGGGGAAAAGACAAAATCATCACCTGCTTTAGAATGAAAGCCAAGAGAGCTTCTTGTCCTAGTGTGCTTGCTAGCCCGGTTGGGGTCAAACCCTTTTCTCAAAGAGACATTGCTTGGCTTAGCTACTTTGCTTCATTTGTGTGCTTCTTTGTGTGACACTGAATACATTTGTCTTTAATACTAGAAGGGCAGCAGAAGGCAGATCTCTGTGGTGGCGGCGGCATGGTGACTGTGGTGGTGTTTGCATGAATCTCCATACGATGTCACAGAACTAAGCACACACCATACCAATGCCAATTTCCAGATTTTGTATATTAGACAAACCTAATTTCCACCATTGGAGGAAGCTGTGGGAAAGGGACATGGGCCTTTTTTTTTCTTTTTGCCATTTCTTACAAATCTATGAATAAAACACTGAGTAAACCAGCAAGTTGAAAACAAGATGCTCACAGTGTGACTGATCTAGTGAGAGCGATCTTCAGAATTAAATATCTGGGGACCTTGTTCTGAGGCTTGTGCTTGGTTTCCTGCTGGGAGCCTGTTTGACAAAGACATCATGTGACCAACTCATTCCAGAATGTTCTCTCATGCTAAACAGTGCTATCAGGTTTTAAGATATACCAATGTATTAAGGGGAGAGTCTAGACCCACAGAACACCAGCTCTGATGTACCCCGTTTCAGAGATGAGAAAGAAAGTCCAGGACATGGAAGAGGCCTGACCAAGGTCTCCCAAGCGGCTGATGGCAGAAGCAGGACCTAGTGAGCCCTTCGGCCACACCCACCATCCTCTGCTCTTGTCAGCTTTCTCTTCACCCCGGAGGTTTAAGACATTAAAATTCAGAACTCGTGGGAAGGTTGACTCTGAAGAGCCACAGCCAGAGGAGTAGATGAACATCAGGGCATCTTTTTTAATTGCCTATTCACACAGACAGATTGTCTTTTCTTATTCGGATCTAAACTTGGAGATGTGTCCTTCTGCAGGGCACTCATTATCTGACGTCTCATCAGGAGCGGGAGCTAAAGTGCAGTTTGATTGCTGAGTATAGGTTCTATTTTTTTCCTCCTGAGCAGGAAGTTCGAAATCTACTGCGTTATTTTTAAAGAGAGTAGGGAAAAAAAAAAGAAATCATAATAACTTCCTCAGAGGCTTAGTCCAAAGACATATACTGCTGGCCTCAGCGGAGTGGGGAGGACCAGAGGTGATGCAGATAGAGCAGAGTCTGAGCCATTTCTCAGTGGAGGGGTTGGGGACATACAAAAGGCAGCAAGGGGCAGATGGGGCTGGAACTGGTTCCCTGGTGACAGGGGTCCCAGGTTTTTCTGGGACTGATTTCTACTGGGATTCATTTGAGGAGCTGTGATTACCTTCTCCTTGTCCACAGAACCACGATTCTCATTCCTGGCTAGGTGGGCGACTCTGGTGGAGTCAGGGCTCTTTTTAGTCTTTCGTGGAGCCTGGAATGTTAGGCAAACATTACAGGAGCCATGGGTGTAATCCTTACCTTCTTGAGTGGATTTGGAGAATGAATCCCTGGAACATTAATACTCAAAAATGTCCTATTTACAGGGAAGAACATTAACTTGCTTATGTTGACATAACCATTCTTTGTTGACTGACCGTGTGAGGCAGTGTGCTGGGAACAAGAATTACAAACAAGATACTTAAGTTTTTCAGGGAGGTTCCCCACGTCCATTAGGATGAGCAGGAAAGTCCAGGGAAACTGCAAGGCATCATGGGAATCATGTAGAAAGTTCTGGAAACAAAAGGCAAAAGGCACTAAATGTTCTTTTGCTTGTCCAAATTGCCAATTCCTTCTTCCCTCTGCTTAGCGTTAGGAGTTTAGGAATGCCTTCTTTCTGCTGTTAGCAGTGGGGGATCCACAGGGCACACCCCTTCTGATACCACCAGCTAATTGTAGCGAAACCTAAATTTTCTCTTCCACTTTCTTTCTTCTACCTTCCTTCTTCCCTTTCTTCCTGCAGCTCAGGTTGGCCTCACAGGTAACCATGGATGGAGCCGACTTCCTGATCCTCCTGCCCCCACCTTCTCTACTGCTAGAATTATAGGTGTGGACCATTTCACCTGGTTTATATGGTGGCTGGGATTTGAACTTTGGGCTTTTAGTGCTTGCTAGGCAAGCACTCTACTGACTGACTTGCGTCCCCTCTGAAAAAATTTTCCACAGACGACAATGTAAACTAGACATGTCGATGAGTTGTACAGAGTTTCAGGGTTAGTCAGGGGGCAGAACCAGGTTGGAAAGGGGAGACTCTAAGGCGTCTGTTGCTGAGAGGGACCTGGGAATGGACTGTCAGCTTTGCAGGGTCTCTGGAGGATGGGGCACTGGTCAGAAAGGGTATGAAAATTAGCAGGAGGTAACAGTCATGAACGACTCCAGGCAGGCAGAGAGAGGTGAGTGCTGGCTTCTGAAAGCAGACCCTAGGCTGTTAGTGCTTTTCTTAGACTTTTTGTCCACACATCCCAGTGCAAGTCCTGAATGCAATAAAAGGTCTTCTTCGTGGGACTCCCCGCCCAAGCTGGAGTGACATTTCTGCCTGGGCATTTACATGAAAACTCAATGTGCAACCCACAAAGAATCAGAAAGAGGAGCAAACGGCATCATAGAATCCCAGGTTTATCTAATCTACATGGGAAGTAGAAAAAGACAAGATCTCTTGAGTAAATTGGGAATGTGGCAATCATGGGAGAGGGTAGAATGGGAGTGGGGGAGTAGACAGAGGATCAGAGAAAAAGATATGGCTTAATAAAAACAATAACAAAAAGAATCCCAGTGATTTCCATCCAATTCCTCCCTTGCATTTTTTCCATTTTAGCTAGTGGTTGGTGCCCACACCTGGTTTCCCAAAGGGGTGAGGATTCTGTTTCAGAGAAGAGGTATGGTATTTAGGGATAGCACCAAATTACCGTGGGGGTGGGCCCAGAAGCCACAATTGAGGCTAATTGAGTTAATCTTGCAGAAGTAGGGACGCCCTGTCCCTCAGATGTGGAGAGTCCCTGCACAGGCTCTCACGAGTGGCAAAGCCACTTGTTACACAAAGAATTCGTGGTGGCTACAAAACTCATTTTATTTTGCTAAAAGGAACACACTAAAGAGCTCATTCATCTGATTCTATGCAGAGGGGGGAAACAGGTCAGAAATGGTGGGCTTCCTGTCCTGAGAGGTTATGTTCCTTCTCTCCTGACCGCTCTTTCCAGACTATGCCAAAGGACCTTCTGAGGCAGGCTGAATATATATATATATCCCCTTTGACTGATGGAAGGGAAACCTGGAGAATCACTCAGAGGTGCACACAGACCCTTCCAGACCCCTCCCACTGCCATCTCCACATGCACTCCATCCTCTATTCTGTCTAGTTCCTATTCTCCACATGTTTTACAGAGCCACATTCTAACCTCTCAGCTGAGGGAAGACCCCAGGCCTGAGCTAAGGGATGAGGCGCTCCTGTGTACCACACAGAGGATGCAGACTGTGGGAAATATTTTTTTTTTAATGACAGAGAAAACACACCAAATTGTAACAGAAGCCTGGGTGGGAGTTACCAATGTACAGATCAACACACGGACGTCCAGAGAGCAGTAGACCTTCACAGAGAAACCAGCTAGGTTAGGGAGCAGCATCCCTGAAGACAAGTGACCGAATGCCACCCTGTGTGTGACCTGGTTGTCACCTCAAGCAGCGGTTCCCTTTCTCATTTGATGGTAGGGATGGTTCACAATGGCTACATGGAAGAGAGGCCTCAAGGACTTGCACCACAAAGGGGTGATACTGCAGACGGACTCAGACTGGATATCGTGCACGCCACACCCATGGAACAAGACTCAATGTGGGTCCTTGACAGGCATTGAGCGAGAAGGACAATAGGTGGAAGATACAAGTTCCTTTAGACTCTAGGATTTGGCGCAACTTCCATAAAGCATGCTAGGAAATAGGTTTATCAACAAAACTTTGCCATCCTAAGAGATTAAAAACCACCCTCCCAGTTTTTAACCGTGATGTATCTAGGATTCAAAATAAGGAACGAGAAGCAAAAAGGCCGTAACTCAAGAACTATTTGGAGTATTGTGGCACTTTACCAATCTCTTTTGCATATATATATGTATATATATACAAACACACAATATGTATATATATTATAGGCAGAGCAAACATAACCCTGTCAATATAAATTTTCATCATAGATAATTGTAGACTGTACACTCTCAGAATGCAGAAAGTGGTGAGCCTATCTATCATACACTTTTCATCTTTAAAAATAATCTAACATAGTCATACTCTCTGGCTAGTAACAAACTATGAACATCTTCTGAGAATACAGATAAAGCTCTGAGATTAATAGCAAATTCTCTGACGTGCTCCCCCGCCCCTATTCGGTATCAGAAATGAACATATTTCTGTAAAAGCATCCCCAGAACCATTCATAACCAGAAAAGAAACGAATATGTTTGTTTCACCAAATGGGCTTTTAGCAGGAAGTCGGGCAACATTATCTAACTTTGGCAAAAGGAGACGAAGCACGGCATGATGCCTTATAGGTTCGGGTCCCATGCAAATGCATGTTTTGTTATCGGGGGTGTCTCAGTCTCACCCTAAATTCATGGTCAGCATGCAGAGTATTGTCAACTACGGGATTTGAGATAATTAGAGACAGTTGGCAGTTGGCAGTGCACCTCTTTTGTGTAACCATGATCGAATCACTAAGGCAGGAGTATGTGACCTTGTATAGATAATATCAGCAGGAATTTGTCGGATGCAAGTTTACATGGCACGGACCTGCTACTTACTGTCTACAAAAAAAGAACAAAAGAACCCTTAAACACAACTCAGTTGAAAATGAACCGTTAAGCTTTTAGAAATATGTTTGAAACTACGAGACTGCTCTGTGTTTGCTACACACGAACGTTTTTTAAAAAGTTCCTGCCCCTAAAAATTGGCCGTGTGATTTCCTCATGCTGAGCAACAGTGTCTATAACTAGCCACCGTGACTGTTGCCTGAGCAAGAACAGCTTCTAAAGTCATTCGTCTGTCATGTGATGCTCTTCAAGGTCAACCAGGAAGTAAGGGGCCTTTTCAGCCTTGGTCCATCTGTTAGACTGTGGTCCTCAGCAGAAGGTGTCCATGGCTCCTGGGCATTTTCCATTGGAGGTGGCTTGGCTGCTACGTTGGCTTGCAGGTTCTGGACATAGCTACAATCTAACCTGCAGACTCACGGAAGGTTCTTCACTCAGGAGCACACAGAAGCCAAGATCACTGACCGGAGAGAGGCTGAGGCAGTGGAGGCAGCTCCTTGGCCCAGCAGAAAGAGACACCAGGGAGAATTTTTGTGTATGTGTGTTTTGTGGAGCCAGTGCAGGAGGGAACCAGAAATCGTGCTCCGGGGAAGCATTTGCCACACGGAGGCATCTCACGCCACGGAACCGCATTTGCCACATGGAGGCATTTCACACCACGGAACCCTTGGAGGAGGACAGGTGGATGGACTGAATCCTAATGGCCAACGTCCTCTGTAAGTCCTGAAGCACATCCTGGCCAGTCCCTTCGCCGTTCTTGTCATACAGGAGCTGCTTGAACGCTTCATTTTCGATGAGGACCATCATATTTTTAAGAAAGTAGCCTTCGCAGTATGCTGAGAGCTCCGTGACCCCAAGGAACTGTGGGGAGAGGAAAGGAAGCAGGTGGTTACCATGACGGAGACCACTCACTCAGGAGCATCAACCTGATGCTTCACCAAACCATCTTCCTATCCCCAGGCTGTGGCTTTGGAACTCCTACTCAAAGACCTGATGTTCATTCTTCTACATCTTGCCTTGTGCAAGTCCAGTCTTTTTTTTTTTTTTTTTTGAGCCTAAGTTTCCCAAGTTTCAGGATGGGTGGGATAGCCTAGGAGTACTGTCAGGACATGGATGTACATAGAGACTCTATGGTCTTCAAGAGATCTCAGCAGTTGAAGCGTCAGTCAGAGCTGGGGTCCTATCCAATATAGTCACCATACAGGCACCGAATTCTTCAGCCGGGAGACCTCCTAGCACAGAGGTCACTCCTACCATACAAGTCCTGCTCTTGGGGGGTCACAGGACAAGGCCTCATTCTGAATAGGAAGGGAAACTGAGGCTGAGAGGTCTAGCTCTTGGAGATTGCTTTGTAGGTGTGTGCCACTCCACACAAGTTGGTGCAAGTGAAGGGAAATACAACATATTTTTATGTATGGTATCTGTTAACACTTACGGGATGGATGCTATACACCACACTTATCATCACCATACAACTTTCTACAGGTTCACATGGGGCTGAATCTCCCATCTCTCATCTTCTAGGTGGAGGTTTGTAGATTACAGCCCCCTGGGCTAGATTTGGCTCACAATTTGTTTTATAAATAAAGTTTGGGTAGAACACTGTCATGTTATTTATTTTCTACCTGTCTTCTATTGTTTCTGCACTAGAGGTAGACTCAAGGAGGGACAAACAAAATAAAACATCAAAGTTGAAAATAATCATCTGCCCCTTTACAGAACATGTTTGCTGATCCTAGTCCTCTGTTATGTTTTTCAAATGAAGAGACCATGTCTTGCACTAATTTCTTTTCCTTTCTAAGATGGGGTCTCATATACCAGGCCGACCTCAAACTTCTTATGGAGCTGAGGATTGCCTTGAACTCCTTATCCTCCTGCCTCTGCCTCCAGAGTGCTGGAATCACAGGTGTGAGACACTAGGCCTAGAAGGCCTTACAAACTTCTTTGTTATATTCTGATGAGTAAGGTACTCGCAAATGAACACGTGGGTCAATCAACACCAGAAAGACTCCTGTGGTTCCCAGACTCTTATTCTTTCCACCACAATACTAGACCTGGATTGAGTTTTTCTATAATTGATGAAGCAGCTCGTCCTCGTTTTCAAACACAGAGATAACCTGAGAGGACCATCAGAGGCTCAGGACTGAGCTGCTGGAACAGCTTCTAGGAAGAAGAGATGCTAACCCACGCACGGGTGGGCTGGCTTTCTCCTCCATCTAAATCCCACAGCTGGGACTCAAGGGCTTCCCTGAAGCACAGAGCTGATGCTGTGGGGGTCTTTGCTAACAGCTGGACCTTGGCCGTTAGCATCTGAATGCCTGCGATTCCTCTGGTTCAGAGCAAGCTTTCCTGCTTCTTGCACTACCGTCCATCTGAAGCACAGTCAGAGAGGAATCCCAGCGGCTGGAGAGCATCTGTCGAGGCTGCATCGCCTGTAGCTGAGGGAAGTAGTGTACACACCGGGCAGGAGGCATCTGGCCCTGCCCTTCCCTCTTGTAAATACCACAGATGTCCTATGTTGATGTTGGCACTATTCCAGGATGGGATCTTGGAGGTAAAGCTGGTGTCTGTCAGAGCAGAGGCCCTGGTCACATGGGTGTACATGGGAGAGTCTGCTCCCCTGCCTCGGAAGTCCTTGGCCTGCATTCCCTGTTGAAACTCGTATGGCATCAACTGGCATTATTAAACCATGTATGTGAAGCTGGTGCTGCCAGCTAAGGAGCCTTAGGAGACTGGGCCAAGACTTGCCAACGTGAAAAGTCACAGAAAATCTGCCCGTGGAGGTCGGGTTTCTGGGGCAATTCAAATGACCATGGTTAAGGGAGGAAAGGAGGAAGACACTGGCTCTCTTCCTGAACACAGAAGGTCTCTCTGGGTGGTGCCATTATGCAAGGCATCCCATTCAGACAAAGACAAATGCTGCTTAGCTGGGGTACAGGCAGAGCATGTCAGCCTCAGGGTCAAAGCAAGGATGGAGAGTTCTAATCCACACTAACCAGAACACTGTGTGTGTGTGTGTGTGTGCACGCATGCGTGTATGTGTTGGGTTTGTGTGCGTGTGCATGCATGCCTGTGTGTGTATATGTCCCAGAGACACGAAGGAGAATGGTGTTCTCACCCATTGTGGTAGTATGTACAAAAAGTGTCTCCCATAGTTTTGTGCATCTGAACATGTGATCCCCAGTTGGTGGAGCTGTTTTAGGTTTAGGTGGTGCAGCCTTGCTGTAGGAAGTGTGACGCTGGGGGTGGGCTTTGAGAGTAAAAGCTTCACACCAGTTCAAATTCATTTTCTTTGCTTCACGCTTTCTCTTTGAAGACACGAGCTTTCGGCTTTCTGCCTCTTGCTGCTATGCCTCCCCACCACAGTGGACTCTTATCCGGCTGGAACTGAAAGCCCAGATAAGCCCTTTCTTCTTAAGCTGCCTTGGTTGTGGTATTTTATCACAGCACAGAAAAAAAAAAAAAACAAAAAAAAAAACAAAACCCTGACACACATTTGGTTTTGCACGGGAATCAGGAACACCCCACCACCCTCCAGAGTTTCTGAGTTGATAGGTTTGGGGGTGTGACCTAAAATACTCCTTGCTGCCGCAGCTGCTGGAGACCACCTCTTGAGACCCACCGTTCTAAACTCTTCTATTCAAGACCACTTAATAGCAGAGACATTAACTAGACCCTGATATCGAGAGCCCAGTCCAGGCCTGAGGAATCAGTCTGTGATGATTCTTGTGGGAGCAGAGTGAGTAACATTCCTGGGGACACCATTGCCTGGCTTGCTTTCCAGTGTTCAACGAAGAAAGGGAGGACAAGGAGATGTCAGATTTGGAGCAGAAAAGAAAGGCCCACGGTCTGGGGATGTAAGTCAGTGGTGGAGTGATGGGCTGATGTGTGCTGAAGCCCAGAGTTTAATCCCAAGCCACAGAGCCCCTGAACAGTCTCGGGAGCACAGGGCCGGCTTTGGGGTCGGGGGAAAGGCTTACCTTGGCGTGGCTGTAGATATCCACGCAGTTGTCGGTATTGATGCTTTTCGCACAGATAATCTCACAGTGTCGCTGCAGAGCCTCCAGCTGGAAAAATTTAGCCGCAGACAGAAGCTGGAATCCAGCAAAAGAGACTGTTAGTGGTAGAGGTGGGGAAGAGTGGTCAGCAAACCGTAGGAGTGAGCCACTGTGGCAGTTTGAGTGAGGAATGGCCCCCATAGTCCCAGGCATTTGGGCACATTGTCCCCAATTGGTGGCAGTGTCTGGGGGACAGTTTAGGAGTTGTGGCTTTGTTGGAGGATATATGTCGCAGGAAGCAGGCTTTGAGAACATAAGGCCTTCCCCTACTCCAGTTGGCTCTCTCTGCTTTGTGTCTGCCACCGGGCTGGCCATCTGCCTCCTCCCTTTGGCTATCACGAACTCTCATCTCTCTGGAACTGTAAACCCAAATAAATCTTTTCTTCTTCAAGTTGCCCCAGTCATAGTGTTTTGGCACAGCAATAGAAAAGCAGCTAATCTACTCCACAGGGTACCTAACTGAGGGTCAGGAAGCAGAGATGCTGGATGCACAAGGTGAGACAGGGGAGCAGGCCCTAGTTATGCAAGTTTCCTGTGGGCGGAGGGCAGGGTGGAGTGGATCACAGACTCTCATAGCAGGTCAGCCCCAAATATCCCAAATCAGATCCAGCAAGGAGGAGGGGCAAGGACACCCATTAGCAAGGTGGGTATGACTGTGGCTTCCTCCCTGCCTGTGCTCCCTGCATCTCCACTCCAATGTCGCTCCTTGCCATCCTGGCTCAGGGACCGACCTTCACCCTGTCTTCTTCTTCTTCTTCTTCTTTTTTTTTCGAGACAGGGTTTCTCTGCGGCTTTGGAGCCTGTCTTGGAACTAGCTCTGTAGACCAGGCTGGTCTCGAACTCACAGAGATCCGCCTGCCTCTGCCTCCCAAGTGCTGGGATTAAAGGCGTGCGCCACCAACGCCCGGCTCCCGTCTTCTTCTTTATGGGACTTCCTATCCAGGTGCTACGGCATTCCCACTTTCTACGACAGACTCCAGAATGTCGGGGTCTTCATCCCATTGGGCCACTGCCACACCCAGTCAAAGGTGAGCCCTGGGCCTTGGGGGGTCCCAGAAGTATGCTGAAACTGGCGGGCTCTGAGAGAGGAAGTCATACTTCTCCCAAGGTGGGGTGGTGGGGTGGTGGGGTTTATCATGAGCCTGCTTGTGATTTTTTTTTTTTTTTTCGTTTGAGACACAGTCTCAGTTTGTAGCCTTGACTGGCCTGGAGCCCGCTGTCTGTCTCAGGGGATCATCAGATCCCTCTCAGGTGCTGGAATTACCAGCATGAGCCAACACGGCAGACCGAAACTTAAATGCAAATCCATTCACCTCCATCGTATCTTACAAAGGGGGTCTGAGGGATGCTGGGTGGGTGAACATGCCCCTGTCCTGTGAAAGCAGCACACTCCAACTCCACAGAACTTGGGATTTGAACTTGTCATGTGGACACCCCCCTGCCTGTCCTTTCAGCCCCATCTCCAGTAAGCAAACGAGTCAATGCAGAAAGTAAAATTTAAGATGCTTACAAAAGGCCACACCTGTCCCTGTGGTGGAGTATAGGATGGGAGGAGGGGTCCAGAGAGTCCAGGGTCTCTGGAGTATCATGGGGTGGGGTGGGGGTTAAGAAGGGTAAGGATGCAGGACAAATTGGGCCCTTAGTGACCACAAGCCCTACAGCACTCACCATGGCCAAAGGTGACTACGAATCTTCTAAAACATATTTTTAAAACCATCTCAGATCGAGTACCCATTTTACAGGAGAGTAAAAAAGCTCGGCTAGGTCAAATAAACTGCCAATGTGATTGGGCTGAAGGACTTTAGGTACTAAACTGCCTGCTTTTAAAAAACATTATTTAACTAATTAATTAGTTTTAAAGGATAGGGTCTCATCCTGTAGCCCTGGATGGTCTGAAACTCCTATGTAGACCAGGCTGGCCTCCAGCTCACAAAGCTTCACTTGCTTATGCCCCCTGAGTACTGGGGTTAAAGGTGTGTGCAACCATGCCCAGTTAGCTCCTGTCTTTAACTAGGAAAACGGATTGGAGCTCTGGCTTTGGGTGGGGAATAGAATGGGAAGTCAGGGTGGTGGTGGAGAGCAGCAGGCATGGGCGAGAGATGGCTTCCAGCTCTCAGCTTCTAGGTTCCAGAAGGCACTGTCGGGGGAGAGCCTTGCCTCTCATGGATGTAAGTCCCGTAGCAACCACGAGGGGGAGCAGGTCACCTAGGATACTCCCTGATGGTGCTGTAGAGGTCCAACTGTCTCTGTGAAGATGGTACCCAGATTCCGCCGTGAACTTGCCCCTCACAAGCCAGGTAAGACTGGTTTCTACCCAGGGCCCCTGGTGCAGACAGTCTCCCAGGGAAGGCTTTGCTTGGGAGGGCCACAGAGTTAGGGAGGATCACGGAGCTAGGAGGGCCCTCAATTATGAAGCCAGACAGAAGGGGTGCTGAGGCAGCTAGGAATGCAATGTTCTCCTTACCTCCATGATCTCATTGTTTTTAATGAGAAGTGACTCTGGACCACCGTAGTAGAGATACTGCATGACCAGCTGGAAGGAAGAGGACACAGTGAGTGATACCCCAGCTGTACACAATACCACACCCTCTACCTGATGGGGGATGTTCAGATAGGTTTTCCTGATGACACCCCGAAATCACGACCCTATAGTTTCCAGGCTCTGCCTCCATGTCTTTGCACAGGACCAAAGCAAACCTGAGCTTGTCTCCTCATGATGGATGATAACCAAGGGTGCCCACCTACCTCTCATCCAGTCAAGCTGTACAGGTGAAACAGGCTCTGTAGAGAGCCTGACACAAAACCTCCTGAGGTCCCAGAGAGCCACTCTGGGCAACCAGCTCCTTATAACGAGTTGACGAAACTCCAGAGGAAGCCGAGAGGGACCCAGGGTTTTGATATTCACTGAGGGTGGTGTGAAGGAGCCACGTAAGGCTATCCCCTGTTATGTGTCTTTCAATGTCTGGAATCTGCTTTAATAAAATGTATCTAGCATGGTATCTGTCTTTTATCTCCCCTTGCCTCTATCAGAACCTGGCCACGTCTTTCAGCTCCCTCAGCCTGAATGAGCTTTCTTCTCTAACAGTGGAGGCTGGCTCTCCTTTGGGTCAAGTTCTGCTCACTGTGCTAAGAAACTTGGGTCATCTGAGAGTACACTCTCACAGTCTCATTCATCACAGTATCCCTGTGCCTAGCACAGAGACAGCACAGGGACACTTTATGTTATCATTATTACTTGGGATCTCAGGGTGACGAACTCACGGCAATCCTCCTGGCAAGAGCAATCAGTCGTCCAAGAGCTGGGACTGCAGGCACATGTCACCATCCCTGCCTCATGTGACCATATTAGACATCACATGACTCCTGTGTCTGAGTCTCTGTGTTGCCCACTACAGAGGTGGTGACATTGTCTAGGCCTTGGGAAATAGCACTACGCTGATCCCCTCCACCTCCTGCCTTAGAGAGCAAGGCTTATATGTGTGTGAAATACCGTCAGTCAACACAGGGCTATGGGCTTTATTAAAACCAATTGATTCCTCTAGCCAGTTTGTTATGTAGGCCAAACCAATAGTAATAAGAAGCACCTCTGTAATGTGCATCCCCCCCACCCCCGTTTACAAAACACTTTTCTATCTGTCACAGACATTGTCTCATTTATTCAGTGTTGAGCCATGGGCTGAAATTGCTGCATTGGTGGAAGGAGACCCTGGGCTAATGGAACTTAAATCAGGCCATTCCAGGCCCCTTCCAGACTCTGTCAGTGCAAGCATTTTCTCTAAGTGGGTGCAACAAGGCCTTATTAGGCCAAAGGCCCTGCTTACAGAACTGTTTTTCTTGGCTGCTGCCAACCTACACGAGGCAGGGGCTTTTGCAGTCTGAAGGAGGCCTAGCTCCAGGTGTGGCCTCAGTGGGTCTGGCTCCTGCACGCATATGATGTTAAACAGTCTCGAGGGAGGAAACGCAGTGCAGTATCAATTACTAAAAATCCTTCTGCCCTAATTCGCATGCCAGAAGCACATAAAGTGCGCAGGTTTTTGGGAGACTCCTTGTGGGTCGGACTCAGCCTTCCTTGGCCTATTTGAAGTCACAAATGAGGAGGCTCTTCTTCTTTTATGGGGACTGGGTAGGGACACAGGCAAATCCCCAGGGCCCGATCAATCTTCCCTTTCCATTACAGGAGCTTAAAGCTAATGTGACCAGCAAACCGTCCCCATCGGAAGCAATTACAGGCCTGGGGATCCCTCTGAGGCCAGCCTTTCCCATGTAGGACTCTGACAACAAGTCCGCTGGGCAAACATTTACTGAATGCCTGCTCTGAGCCAGGCTCTTATTACTGGAGCCTCTCTAGTGAGAACCAGGCTTAATAGTCATGAGGTACTTCTTGGTGTGTGTGCATGTGCGTGTGCGTGTGTGTGTGTGTGTGTGTGCACGCATGTGCATACAGGTGCTCTGTTTCCTGCCTTCAGCTCATGATCTCACTCTTAACAGGCCACAGGATTCATAGGGTCAGGTGACTTCAGAGTAGACGCATTTTTCCAAGGATATGAGAAAACAACAGGATTGGGTCCTGTTTTAACCTTGGCTCTCCTACGGGCAGCTGTGGGAACTTGGGCCACAACCTTCCTAGAGCTTGTGGCAGGGCAGTTGAAAGGATCATGGACACAAGGGCAGTATTAGCTCTCTGGTTTGAACCCTGAGCCCGGAAGCATCAGAGGCTCTTGCCAGAAGTGAGACTGCCCATGACTGAAAGCCAGGTGGAGAGCTGGGCCCTAGGGGCTCACATTGAGTGTGTTTTCTGTTTTCACAGTCTGCTAATGTTTGGAAGATGCTATAAGGAGGAGAGCCTGGCTCCACATTGGCAGGAGAGGAAGGGGAGACCTCAGCATGCCCAAGATTGGGACCTGCCCTGAGCTTCTGCTTTTACGGGTCTGAGGTACAGATAGGACATCCAGGGGACACTTTCAAAGCTCCCCCAGGCAATATCTGTGTGGTGAAAGTTGGGGGAACAGGCTTTCCATTTTGGTATGGTTTCTACTTAGAAAGACCATCTCAGTATTGAGTCCTGGAGGTGAGCCACCAGATGGGCTAGGTACAGATCCTGTTGGTTCTAACATGGCTGGGATAGACACATCATTTAAGTCCTTTTTGTGTGCTCTTCCCTTTGTCTGGGTCTCTCTAGCTTTCTTCTTGAGCCCAAAGCCTCATTCTGAGCCCTGTAGCTTTGGCTTGGCCTTGGTTCTCGGTTCCTAGCCATGCCCTCAATGTCCTGGGTCTAAACTATTACAGTACATGGCTCCAAAAAGGACATCCTCTTTGTCAAACACCCCGCATATCCTGTAATTGACTGGTAACTTGGGGATACTCCCTCTAGATGTACAAATCTTTGGGAGAGGGTGTCTCTTACCTTTGGGCCCCCTCCCCCAGTCCAAGCCTGGAGCTAACAGATACAGGGCTCCAGTGATCGCTGCGGGGCTTGGGATGGAGCGGGAGGGGTGAAGTAAGTGAGCCTCAAGAGCAGGTGCTAACAGCTTAGTCAGGGGTGTCCCAAGGTGCTAGGGACATCTGAGGCCCCAAGGCTACCCCAGAGCTCACCTGGAAGATGGGGTACTTCACGTAGCCGATCTCTATGAAGGTGCTGTCGTTTGTTGGCTTGCTGGAGAGGAGAGCCTTGAACCTGAACAACACAGAGAAAGACCGAAAGAATCATCCACATACCTAGGGCTTGCCCCAAATGACTCTTCTCATGACACATATCTCTGGATTCTGCTCTAAAACACATCTGGATTACAGATGTCAGTGTCTATTCAAAGCTAAAGACCAGCTTGAAACTCACATCTTCTCCCACACTGGCCACTGGGAAGGAATGGATTCTCTTTAAAAGACCAACACTCCCCAGCACCAGCCCAGGGTCTCCTCTGCAGGCCTTAGTTTGTTCTGAGTGCTTGCCCTGGCTTCCCTCTTGTCTGGTGCCCAGGGGTCATCACCTGCCCTTATTTCTGTTGTCTGAGCTTTGCTCCAGGGAGCCAGGCACTTCTGTTTTTGTGGGACATAAAGCCTCAAGGGCATTTAACCCATCCTTGCTGACTGATCATCTGTCTTGGAGTTGGATGCAAAGCCTCTGGCAGGTAGGGACCTTATCAGTGGGACTGAACTTCAAAAAGCAGGGATAGCAGCTAGGGTTGTAGCTCAGTTGTACAGAGGTGCCTGGCATTTCTGAGGCCTTGGGTGCAATTCCCAGCACCAAATAAATTGGGCATGATGGTGCATGCCTGTAATTCCAGTACTAGGGACTAGAAGGCAGGAGGGTCAGAAATTCAAGGTCAACCTTGTTACAACTGGTATTCCAGGAGAGTAGCAATAGGAACAGTCACAGACAAATTCTAGTCGCAGCAAAGCTGAGAGTCTGTACCTGGGAGAAGCCGTGAACAACAGCACTTTGTGAGCATAGAAGGGTCTTCCCTCTACCAGGAAGGTCACGTCAGACATTTCTTTATTGTTAAGAAAATGAGGATCTAGAACAGAAAGGGGAGCAGTGTGTTAGTGAAGGAAGGGTGAAATTGGGGCCCTCTGGCGAATGCACAGGAGAGGACCGAGAACCATATTGACCTTTTCATTCCTCGTAGGTGATTTAAGAGTCACGCCAGAGACAGCTCCCATAGAGGATGGATACATCCCTGCCACCCAGCTCAGCACAGGAGATATTCAAGCTGACCTGTGGCTAGAAGCAGCTCTTGGACTGGCTCAGTGGTTTAGTGGGGGTAATGGCACTTGCTGAGCATGTGGGACGACCTGAGTTCTGGTCCCTGGAATCCACTTACAAGATGGATGTGGCCAGGAGGGAGTGGCTCACGCCTTTAATCCCAGCACTTGAGAGGCAGAAGCAGGAGGATCTCTGTGGTTTTGAAGGCCAGCCTGGGTCTACAGAGTGAGTTCCAGGACAGGCTCCAAGGCTAAAAAATAAAGCTGGATGTTGTAGTACTAGTATCTAGAATCCTGGGGCTCCTATGGTTAGATGGGTGGCAGAGTCTGAGAATCTTTGAAGCAAGCTAGACTGGTGTACACAGCAGCAAACAAGAGACCCTGCCTCGGACAAACGGGAAGTCATACCTGACCCTGACTGTCACAACTGTGCTGTGACCTCCTACATACCCACGCTCTCACACTCACAAAGAAGGAGAAGGAGGAGAAGAAGCAGCCATATACTCCATAGCAGATTTGCCTCTAGGCAGAGCTTAGGGACTTCCTAGTCTATAAAGGGAGTTCACCCATCCCCATGCCTCTGTCTTAGGCTTGCTGCCACCCTACCCTGTGGAAGTGGTGTAGAAGGGCAGCCATGCCCTTGCCACTGGACTCCAGGCTGTTTTCTCCTAAAATCAGTGACAAAGGAAGCCACCCACAACTTATCTCTTTTAACGAGACAGTGTAGCTAACACTCGCTTACCTAGTCTAACACACAAAAAGGCAGGTCTTGTGCAGAGGGAAACCTGAGACACACAGACATGACAGTGGCCAAGCAAGCCAGGGTTTGAATCAAGGCATTCAGATTCTATGGCGTGACTCACCAAATACAAGATTCCTAGGGTTATCTTTAATGTAGCTATGTAGACCAAAGGTCCTTCTTGATGGCCCTTGGAGTTGGTCCAGCACTTTTGCCTTGCTGGGAATAGTCTCGACTCTCTGCCTCCTGTCCTATCCATCACAAACAAGGTGTTTCTAGCTGCCAGAGTCTTGTGGTAGGCCACCTGCAGGCCAGTTGTCTAAAACTGCAGCACTCAGGGTTGGCCTTCCACAGTGCTTCCGTGGGGAGCAGCACTCGTGTTTGAGTTTGAGGAGCCACAGCTTCTTCACCATCTACACGATTCTCCTGGCCTCATGCTCTGTGCAGGGTGTGCCTCATCCCTATGAGAGGTGCTCCAAACCGGGACCAAAGGCAGAAGAGTTTTCTTCCCTACGGTCATCCCCAAACTCCTGACCATTCTTTCCCATTCCTCTTCATTCTGTTACCAACCTTGTTCAGGTTACATCATCATTCTAGACAGTTCTGGAGCTTCTGTGGGTCTCGTTGCCTTCACTCACCACAGGAGGCCTCTTCCTAACATCAGATTTCATGCTGATGGGGGCAGGGAGACTGTAGGATATGTTTGTGTTTCATACCACAGAGTCCTTGCACTCCATAGTTCACAAAGGAATCTGCACACACAGGCTAGGAGCAGCTTGGCAGAGCAACTGTTGATGGCTTGCTGCTTCTGAATTAAATCTCCAGCCCAGGAGGTGCTAAGAGAGGCCTGAGCTCAGATATCCACAGAACCAGGACCAGTCGAAGAGATTGTTTTGGGAGAAGGGCTTAGAACTGTGACCGACCACATGACAGAAAGGTAAGACTGAGCTCTGGAATGGTTAACTCTTTGTTTTCACCCTCCCTATAAAGCTTGGGGGCTGGAGAGAAGAGAGGAGGTTTGTTTTTAGGGTGTTAGCCCACTGCCACCTCAGAGCCTGGTTCCCCTGAATACAGCACAGTGTAATGATTCAGTTCCTGTCTCCGATGACTGGTTTTTGTGGTGACAAGCAGTGTGGGCTCTGATTACAATCCATCTCTCCCATTCTACAAACCTTCCAATAGCTCCCCAGGGCTCCAGAGAGGCCACACTTCTTTGCTTTTAAAAGAAGATTTATTTTTATTCCTTTTAGTGGCATGTATATGTATGTGAACATGAGAGCAGGTGCCTGCCGGCTCTGACTTCCCTGGTCTACCATTACAGGTAGTTGTGAGCTGCTTGATATGGGTCCTGGAACAGAACTCAAGTTCTCAGGAAGGGCAGTAGTACTCTTAACTGCGGAGCCATTTCTAAAGTCCTTTTACCAGACCACTGTGACTGAGTTCCTTCACCTCTCTCTCATCAAGACCTCTGTCTTCTTAAAAAAAATACTTTATCTTATGCATGTGTGTCTGAGTGTGCCCTATGTGTGTGCAGGAGCCCAAGGAGGTCAGGAAAGACAACACCCTGGAACTGGAATTGCAGACAGCTGTGAGTCACCATGTGGGTGGTGGGAACACCTGAGTCCTCTGCAAGAGCAGTAAGTGCTCTTAGGCTGTGTCCTGGACCCAGCCCTCAAAAATGTTTGTGCTAACGAGGAGTCTCACAAGGCACTCAGATGGTGTATACTGCTGATTGATAATCGAGGAAGGTCACTCTCCACAACTACCACCTTCTCATTTGGTTGACCTTTTCAGTCTGTTGCCCTGACAACCAATGTTTCCTGCAGGGCAGAAACACTTGTGACTTAGGTACAACTCAGATTTGTCACGGGCATGGTTATAAAGGTAACATAGACCCTTTGACACTGCTGCCAACTTTCCCGTTTTAGCAGAAAGCTGCATCATATTTAAATGTCCACGTTACTCATAACAGTGATGAGTATACATTGAATCAGCTCCACGCACTCAATCTTTCAACTGATAAAGGCAGAGGGATAGCTTGGCTGCCGGATAGAATTTTCAGATGCTTTCATTTTCATATTCACAGGGAAAGGATAAAGGAAGCAGGGAAGATCCCAACCCTTAGAGGAAAAGGAATCCTTCATTGTTAATTTTTTATTACTCTCTGGGCAACAGGGGATGTGGGCTTCTGCAAGACCAGGCTCAGGTTTCCAGTCTCAAGACTGCCAGGTATTTCTCTGTCTTTTCAATTCTGCTCTGCCTGAAGTCAGTGTCTGCCTGAGGGAATCTCAGGAGCTGGCCCTACACAGTGAGGAATTCTGGCATTGGCAGGGCTGGTCTTCAAATCCCAGCTCCACCCTGTTTCCAGACTGCAGTCAAAGCACAGGATGGGTCTCACCTGCCGCCTGGGAAGCACTACTGAGAGGTGGAAGTTGGGTATATGGCTGGAGTCTTGTGCAAGTATTCAAGGATCATATAAAGTGTTCAGCTATCCTTACTGGATTTCAGAGCACCTAACCCCACTGCTCAGGTATGCCCTGCTTTTTGAATTAAAAATATTTATTTTATTTTTAATAAGCTATGTATGTATGTGTCTGTGTGTGAGTGCCCACAGAGGCTAGAAGTGTTGAAACTCTGTGGATCTACACTTATAAGGTTGTAAGCCACTTGACACAGGTGTTAGGAAATGAACTTGGCTCCTCTGGAAGAGCAGAGTTTATTCCTAACCTCCTAGGCATCTCTCTAGCTCTAACCTGTCCTTGTTTTTAGTCACATGTATGTTCCCTTCTTTTCACCATCTCCTAAAGCAGGACTTTCATTAGAGATAGTGCTGGCTCCTTGGTGTCTCCTGCTTACTCCTCTGCCGTGGAGATGAGGGACTTCATAGACGGAAGAGTAGCTGTTTAATCCTGCCACTTTAATAAAACACCACGACAAAGGGAACTTAGGGGAGGAAGGGTTTAGTTTAGTTCACAGTTCCTGTCCATCATTGCAGTCAGCACAGCAGGAAGCAGCTGCTCACATCCACAGCCAGGAGCAGATAAACCGAATCTGTATGAATATTCTCAGTTCTCTTGTTCCTTTTCATATCAGTCCAGGCAATGGTGCCCACCCACATCAATAATCCAATGAAGGAAATCTTCACAGACCAACCGAGTCTAGACAATTCCTCATTGAGATTCTCTTACTTGATGATTCTAATTAGACCATATCAAGTTGACTATCAAAACCATCACAGCTGGCATGGACAGTGGGCCATCTACCACAATTTCCTGTGCATGGGACATCAGGACTCCTCAGCAGTGCCCAGCGGCAATGAATGAGGGAAAAGGTCCCACAGGCGAGGCACCATAGTCTCCTCATCCATGTCCTCTGTTGTATTCTCCAAAGAGATTGACCTCCTACTAAGGGAGATCTCAGCTCTTGGGCTTGACTCCTCCTCTGTCTGCCTCTTGATTGCCCCGTGAAGTCCCCACCCTAGACTTGTTACATGTGTGTGCTTCCTTCCCGTCCCTATGCTCCATGGCTATAGCCTGAATACACCTGGGCCACTGTGACTCACCCAGGCGTGAGGTCTGCTTCCTCTTGATCTCCGTGAGCTTGGGAATGGGGTAGGGACCATAGCAGTGTGTGAAGATGACACACAGTTGCTGGCTGATGACTTCATTCTGCAAAGGAAGAAGAGGAGCTGTGTTGTGGGAATGCCAGGGTGGTACAAGCCAGGCTGTCACTACAGACACCTGTCCCCCAGGCAAGAGGAGCCCAGACATTCAGTTTACACCGACCTGCTCTGTGAGACCATTGTTGAGTGCTTATGAAATCTATATAAAACATGTTCCCATCACACCTTGATCACTTCCTAGCCAAGGGAAAGCAGGGTTTTGTAGCTTCTGAAGACAAAGCTTTCACCTCCAATCCACCTTTATCCGCATTCTCAAACTCTGGAAGCAGCCAGCAGTCCTGAGCAAGCAGCAGAAAGCCCTTTTAGCCCTGTCACTGTGCCCCTCAAGGACAGGATGGAAGCTTCTGCTTCAGCTCTGTAATAAGTCGGATTCTAGGGCTCAGGCGTTCTGGAACTGGGAGTCATCAGTTGAATCATTTCTCAATAAAAATAAAAATAAGGACGGCGGAAGGCAGTTCTGTGCCTCCAAACTCCAGCTGCCCAAGGCGCAGGGAGGAAGGAGACTGTGTGGAGTGAGTGACCTTCATCCCAGTGTTCGGTTCTTTTCCATTAGTCCTTCCTAGCTACTGCCCTCCACCAGCAGGTGAACCGGCTGGGGGTGGGGTGGGGTGTGATCCACTGCATCCTGCTTTTTATTGGGCAAGTGGCTAAACCAGGGGCTGGGCAAATCTTTACAACAGCTGTGGTTTGACTGTCTCCGAGGGCTCATGTGTTAGGGGTGTGGTCCCTTGTTCATGGGGAGATGGTTAAATAAACCTTCGTGAGACTCTGCAGGATATTTGAGGTCCTTGGGTGTGTCTCCGACAGGGGATTATGGGATGCTGGTCTGCTCAGCCCTTTCTCTCTTTGCTTCCCAGCTGCTCCTCCCACATGCTTCTGTTGCTACCCCAGAAGCAATGGACCAGCTGACCACCGACCTCCAAAACTTTGAGCAAACCGAACCCTCCCTCTTTTAAGCTGAATATCTCAGGTGTTCTGTTTTAGCAACACCAGGCAGACTAACACAACAAAGTATCAAAAAAGGAAGGTTAAAACATGCTTTGTACCATTTCTCTGAAAATAAAAGACTGAAGAGTTCTTAGAAGAGTAGAGTGAGATCATTATTTTTTCTTTATATTTCCCACTACTGAGTATTGTTGTTTTTTAAAATGATGACTTGGGACCGTAACGATGCTAGAGATCCAAGAAAGTCTCAAAGTTAATCCCCGAGGCAGGACATAGCTCCTCCGTGTGTGAAAAGAAAATTTAAACCCTTCTATCAAAGTGGATAGATTGCAGAAGGCAGTGTCAGCTGGGACATGATTAAGACAGGGGTCATCAGAGCGGAAGGAAGAAGGGATGGTGGCGCTTCTCAAGGATGGCATGGATGATATGGATGAGCACAGGGAGGCAGGCACTTCTCTGCCTTGGCAACCACGCCAGTGGCTAACACCCCACCCCTGCATTCATGGGCGAGCCAAGTGTTTCTCCCCACGAGCAGCATTAGAATTCCCCGAGAGCCGGTGTGGAACATAAATCCTTTCCTTTCTTCCATTGTCTCTCATTTTTGAGACAGGACCTAGATATGTAGCTCAAACTCGTCTCGAAGTCAAGATCTTCCTGCTTCACCTTCCCAGGTGCTGATATAACAGGCAAATGCTTCCAGACCGGATCCCCGGCCTTGAAAAAATAGTCCTTGTTTTCTGGAGCTGGGCAAAGCCTGGTAGCAGCGTGTGTATGAGTGGCGGAAATTACTGGGTAGGTGACAGTCATGGCTCCTTTCAAGGCAGCCTCCCCTGGCCATGACATCAGCAGATGTGGGGTGACCTTCCCATTGGCAGAAGGCTCTATGGTTGCATACCAATGTCTGGTTTCTGTCATTCAAGGAGACAAAATGACATTTCACAGGGAAAGGCACTGCAGGCAAACCCAAGGGGAAGCTGAGGGACGGGCAGGGTGACTTCACCATTGAGAACGTGAGGTTTGCAGCAGCCAGGCTGCCTGGATCAGGATCCTGGCTTTTCTGGATCCCCCTCCAAAGGGATCTCAAGTCTATCATTTCAAACGGAGATGTTGATAACACAACCCCCTCCCTCTGGGGGTCCTTGGGAGGAGTAGATGAGTATGGAGGATCTAGAATGGTCCCTGTCACACAGAATGTGGGTGATCATCATCATCATCAAAGGCATGTCCTGCTTTAAGTGCCCGGAGCCATCACTCATGGAAGAGAGAATCTGGGAGAAGCGTGAGGGCTGAATGGGGACACGCCAGAAGAAAGGAAATGGGGGGAAAAGGCAGACCTAATAAGGCTTTGATGAATGGATGTAACAAAAGGAAGAGATTGCTCACACATGCTTGTTCTGCTCCGGTGTTTTCTCTGGTGTTGATAAATTAAGCAGTGTTAGTGAATGGTGTTCACACTAAGTTCCATTTTCAAGGTTTTTCACAGAGATGGTTTGAGAGCTCGGCTATGAGGATCTGAGAATGTCTCTGGTGACTTCTGGATGCTTTTAAGATTTGATCCAAAATTCACTTAGTGACTGGTTTTCCTTAGCAGTCCATTGGCAGGCAGAAGCTTAGACTGAAGCATTGCTCAGAGGCTTCCTGGGCCAGCATGCTAGCAGATTTTCCTGCTTCGATTGATAATAATTTTTAAACTTTTGGTGGTGCTGCTAGCTATTGTTCAGTGAGGGGCTTTAGATACACATACCTGCTTCATTGGGGCGTCTGAGATCCCCGATATGGGTACATCGCAGTCAGAAAGATTGTTTTTAAATCATTGTAAGTCTTATGATAAAGAATAAGAGACTTCTTTTAAAATTTAAACAATCGTATTTTTCATTCTGCTGATGGGGAGATGGAAAAGGCATCCATTTCCTATCCCTCATCACAAGCTGCTGTGGTTAATGTGCGTTGCCCCTCTGTAATACATGTGTCAGTCTGGTTCCCAATCTGATGATAGTGAGGACCGTCGGTAAATGTTAGCACTGAGATAAGAGGACGAAGGACAGACTACAGAGGTGAAAACATATGTGAACCACGTGGCTGACAAAGGACCAGTCCTTGTCATCAGTAAGGAACTCAGAATCCAACAACTCAAACAGAACAACAGTTCAACTAGAATGCAAGAAAATGATACAAAGAGAAATTCCAGCGGAGAGGATCCACGGATGCTGGACCAGTGCATGCTTGGGGAATGTCTGACTGCACGCTGTAGCCATGTTAATCTGCCTGTTTCCCTGTGGGCCAGTCTGTGTGATGTTATTCCATACAGGTAAGGGTTTCCATGAAACCTCCCATGAAAGCAAATTAACCCTCTCTCCTTCCTTCCTCCTGGCTGTACCATCCTTTTTGCGCCTGCTCCTTCCAGAGAATGGAACTGCCTGCTCTGTCTCTGGATAGCCTCTCCTGGATGTTCAGTCCAGCTGCCAGGGAACGGGTTCCTTCTGCCTGCCTCCCCAACACGCCTGTTAGGGTTGCTGGTGACTTTCATTTCCTTCCATTCAAAGCCCTTTCCCCACAACCCTCCTCCTGTCAGACACTGGGGTGCTTGTGGAAGGCCTCTCACCCCTGAGCCACCAGGCGAGATGAAACCTGTCAGCAGTCAGGAAGGGATGGCTTTTTGGTGGCCTGGGAGCCAGGGGAACTTGGGGTGCTAGGTGTGCTGTATTTTGTGATCTAGTGATGACTGATTTCAGCTGATAGAAATTCACTGGGCTCTGCAGTTACAATCTGGGGAATTTTTTTACATTTATGTCTTACTTCTAAGTGATGTTTGCTTAAACAACAAACAAAAACCAAAATGCAGAATTCTTCCATGGCAGGGGTAGAGGGGGAGTTAAAACCAGACAGGCCAGAAAACACTCGATTATAGACACTGGGAATGCATCCAGCAGTCCCTTTCACCCAGGTGGTTCTGGGTAATTTCAGTTGAAAGCCTTTTATCCATTTATTTTAAGTTGTAGGGGGACAGGGGAGGAGCTTGCTTTTGAAATGTTCGCAGCAGGGTCCGCTCTTCTTGAACTCACTGAGGCCCACTATACTCGGGCTGCATGGCACAGACACCAATCACAGCCAGCAGGAGCTACAAAGGCTGGCTTGAGGCTGGCACTGCCCAGAACAGCTGCTGAGATGAGCTCTGGCCTCAAGGCTCCAAGACACTCTGAAAGCAGATGGACTATGTGGCTGGTGGGCTGACTCTGTCACCAGGGAAAGGCAGTTCTGTGTGCCCCTCACTCTCACAGCGAGCAGCCCGTCCCTAGCCCAGGACAGGTACCCACACAGTGTGGCTCATAGGCCAGTTTCTCCTGAGGCTCCACAGACTCCTGTGGATGGACCCAAGAGTTCCACAAAGCCTTCCCTGGGGCAGATGATCACTCCAGTGTGGGCCCTTAGCTGCTCAGCAGTGGGTGAGCTTGGGCGGGTTAGTATCCATCTCCCTGCCTTCATTACCCTTTGTTTGTTATATGTTAAATGTTTGTTAAATGGAGATGAATTTAGGGTTCCTCCAGAAGTGCTTGTGAAGACTGTGAGAGTTAAACCTTCAATATGCTTAAGTGAGTGAATGGCTTGTAATTAAATTAAACATATATATTATAATATATATATATCATGTGTAAGCTTTGAAAAAAATCTTCATTTCTGTCTTGGGGCATAATGAAGTTCATTATGAAAGGATTCTACAGACAAACGAGTCTGGGAAACACCTTAGTTTCCTTTGTGAATTTCAGGGCACTGAAGACTGAAGTGTTCACAAGACATTGTCACCCTGAGGATAGCAGATGGCATGGTGACACCGGTATTGGCAGCTGGCTGTGCCTGCCGCTGTCCTGAGCTGGTGTTTACAGAAGATCCTTGGGGAAACACAGAAAGCCCTGCATCTTCTATGACGCTCTTCATAGCCACTAAGGAAGCTTCTCTGTGGTGTCAGGGAAGAGTGGAAAGGCACTGGGGTTTCCCATCACATTGCACTCACAGCCACTTAGAGACCTTTATGATTGCTGACTCATTTACAGACAGGGAAATTGAGGCAGGAAGAGGTTTAAGAAGCTTGACTAGGGCCCTATGGCTAATGAGTGGGAGAGTTAGGATTTGAACCCCTGTAATTTGGTTCTAGAGTACATACGCTCAACCACTGTGTTATATGAGCCCAAACACTTGCGTGATGCAGCGGCTTAGGGTAGGAACTCTCTAGAACCTTTCAGGGAGGTTGGTGCTCCTCCCTGGTGCTTCTCATGGTCACAGTGCTGGGGGATTCTCTACTGTGACCCCTGGCCTTTGGCTATTGACCCCAGTGGGTGTCAGGGAGCCAGTTCGTCAAGGTTGCCCAAAACAGTACTTCCCACCCACACACAGGAGGGGGCCGCACACCCCTGGCAGGGACCCGAGTGTCTTTATGATATTCCCAAATGGATGACTCTACAGAGCTTTCGTGGACTGATTCTCATAATTCCCCAAGAGTAAGACAGATGTGTAGAAAGAGATGTAGAGATGTGGCCTTCCTTTGCTGGGAATGGAGACCTCGGTAGGGGTGAACCCCAAGGAATCAGATGAAGCTCCTCTGACAAGCTGTCCCATCAGAGGTGTTTATCATTTTGATACTGTGATATGATGTCATCTACACATATATTGGGCTTCATCCATAGTTGTCCTGAAATATATACGTATGTATGAATGTATGTATGTATGTATGAATGTATGTATGTATGTCCATAGCATGAAATGTATGTAAACCTTTGGGATGCATGTTGGACAAGTTGTCATTCTACATGAAAAGACTTCTCTCAAGGCCTAGCTTTTCAGAAACTGTGGCAGAATACTGTCCAGGGATGACACCCTTCCCCTTTTCCTACTCGATTCCCACCGTCCCTTCGGGCCTGGTCAGCACCTGTACCTTGGGGGTGCCCGCTTTCTCTCTTTTGAATCCTACATTTTTTTAAGCCTGGTCCAGGGAAACTAGCTTTATATGCTTTTAGAGCACATGGGTTGGTATTACCCCTGGCTTCAGTGTAAGTTCCACAAGTCAAAAATCACGTACCTGCTCTTGTGCCTAAGTGCCTTGGGATACCCCCAAATACTCAGTCAAAAAGCCGCCTCACAAGTAACTATGCAAGTAGCTGTAGCCAGCTGAGATGCGCTCGCCACCTTTAACCGCGATGTCGTGGTGTTTAAGGACCATCGGTTCCCAGCGAGGGACCGTCCAGATCTGTGAGTCTCCCACCCCCACTCTCCACTGCAACCACAATAGCCCCCCATTTGTACCTTGCTTGCTTTTAAGATTTCAAACATCAGGGGCAGGCCTTGCGTGACGAGCTCCTCTGTGTACTCCTCCTCTTGAATGGTCTTGAACTCCTTGAGCAAACACTGAATGAGAGGCCGGCGGTGCTGCTGGAAGGCGACCCGCAGTGACTCCAGCCACGTGTGCAGAGTCCATGGGACACCTGAAGGGGGCAGGGCGGGGGAGGCATCGGGCCAGGCGGGAGGGGAGGGCAGGAGAGGAGAGGGTAGAAAACAACCAAGGAACAGGAATATTTTCATTTGGAAGTGGGCCTTTGTCTAAAATATTATCAAGCTGTGAAACCGAGGGTCTGGTCTCAGTGAATACAGGCGAGACACGCAGAAGTTGAAACTCGTCTGCGTACGCGTGCGCATGCGCCTCATACTATTGGAGGGCGCATTCTACAATACCAGTCATTGCGCAGAATCTTTCAGTTACTTATTCTTACATCTCCCTGCCTCTGAGTTCACTGCCTTTCTTCTACTGGGGAGGGGAAACCTCAGGGGAAGAGAGAGTTACTTCAGGATTAGATGACATAACCATGCTCAGATGAGGGCTGAGAACCGTGAGATCAACCACTGAAATCAGTGAGAGGAGACCATTGCCGGCCCGTGTGAGACATTTCCACCTGCAGCCCCTCATGGCGTCTTCTTCCTTTAACAAGGTCTCCTCAGCGGATGACTGCTGTATTGTGCTGTGAGAGGGCCAGGAGGGAGGGAGAGCATGCCCCGCCTGAATCAGAACGAACAGGTGGATGGTCCCGAGCCCCCAAGCTTAATCATGCAAAACAGACTCTCAGGGCAACAGCATACATTTCCCACGTATTGGACAGTCCACCTGACAGAGACCCTTTCCAGAGTAGTGATCCAGCGGCTTCTATTTGGTTTTCAGCCTGCCATGACCCATTTTTATGTCTTACGGTTCTCTTCCCTTGCCAGGCAAAAGTCACTAGATGGGTACTAGGCTAGCCTGGATCACCAGAAACACCAATGAGCCAGCTCTGGGCTTTCTCACTGAAGAAAAAAAGAGCCGCTGCTCTCCTGAATGGCGGCTCCTGTTGACTCAGAGGAAAAGTCCTGCTGAGGAGGCATTTGTCCTTGCCTCCAGGGTCGCTCTGTGTTAGTGGAGTTGGGTGTCCTACACAGCAAAGTCCTCAAGCCCTGGGAACCACCTGGAGTGATTGTTAAATATACAGATTCCAGCCTTTATCCATCCAGACCCTCGACAGCAGAGCCTCTGGGTGCAGGGCCTGGCAATCTGTATTCAGACAAGCTCCCCAGGTGATTTAGGTGCATGGCTCAAGGTCCAGGGTTTGGGAACCAGGGCAGGATGAGCTAAGGGTGGGGGCCTCAGGGCAGGCAGAGTGTTGCTGTCTGTGGGAACAGTGTGGGTGTCTTGGTCTGGAGATGTTCTGACAAGTGAAGGAAAAGCTCCCTGGGACCCCTTGATGTGTGTATGAGCATGTGTGTGAGCGTGTGTGTGTGTGTGTGTGTGTGTGTGTGTGTGTGTGTGCATGCTGTGTCTCATGGTGAATGGTGCCCAGACTGACCTATACTTCTGATATCAATTGTCACATCCACGTAGCCATGCTCAGCGCTGTGATACATGGCCTCCCTCAGGGCCCTCAGTTTGGCCTTGCTGTTGCGGCTGGCACACAAGGGGGGCGGGGCTGTTTCTGGCAGGTCAGTCCCCTCAGCCAGAATCTCCTCCAGGGACAGGATATCGTTCTTCTCCTTCTCTGGCTGAGCGAGCAGCTTGCGGAACACATTCCTGTCAATCATAAACCCAGAGAGGAAGACACTGAGAGATGGAAGGAGCCGTGCTGGGAGCAGGGGCACAGTAGGGGGCTAGGAAGCTGCTCACTCAGAACCAGGAACGAGAGGATAATTCCCAGGTGGTGGCTTTACGGATGGAGGGCTTTGGGGATGAAGGAGATGGTGGGGTATGACTGGCCATGTTTCCTGGAGGATATGTTAAGACTGAATAATATCCAGAAAGTTCTGGAACTCAGCCCTTTTGAGCATTAGTCTGGAGAATTTTCTCTCTTTGACGGGGGAGGGGTAGTGTGTAATAAAACCTGATGGGGCTTCTGGAAGAAACCTAGAAAGGACTTGAGCAAAGACGAAGAACTCTGTCATTCCTCTTTGAGTTCTTCTCACATCATGGCAGCTGACATGATGTACTCTGACCCATTCTGGCCAGGAGTGACATATCTCTGTGATTAAAGCCGGCTCAGAGTGGACAGAACATGGCAGTCTGTAGGCTCGCACGTGCAGGGAACTGGCTCTTGGCAGAAAACTGTGGGTGAGGGCACTCTTGTCAGGGCCAGAGCCTGGGCCAGCTCACTTCCACTGGGCCCCACAACCAGAGAGAGGATGGGTCTGGGGGGTGGCCTGGGAATCTGCATTTTTAACAAGCACCACTTGGGACCTGGTGGCCTTGGCCCATCCTAGCCTACCTGTGTCCATGGGCTGCGGCCTGGCTGAAAGAGTTCATGTCACCCTGGGGGGTTGTAGAAATTCCATTCCTGTACATGGTTCCTATCAGGGGGTCCGCACCACGCTCCAACAGCAAACTAACCAGCTCAAAATTCCCTGCAAGCCCAGAGAAGGGGGTTTTGTAAAAGAAACAAAAAAAAAGAAAAGAAAAGCCAGTCACAGGCACATCAAAGGCCACAGTGAGGGACGCCAGGGCGGGGGTGGAACTGGTAACTTACCAACAGCGGCTGCGAGCTGCAGGGGAGTTTCTGAGTAATTCTCCTCACCGTGCTCCACCGAGCCTTCCACCTTGGCCCCAGCATCCAGGAGGAGCTGCAGGGAAGAGTGGCCACTGAGATACACGGAGGGCGTGATTGTGGGTGAGGGGAGGCGTCAGTGTCCTGGTAGAAACCGGTCAGATACTAGTGTCTCCCTCCCCGAGTCAGTGACCTTGTGCACTGGGCTGGAGGCAACTTCACCTCAGAAAAGAAGCCTCTCTCACCTTCTAGAACCCCAGGCTACCTACAGTGTGGTCCATGCAGAAGAACATGTTGGACAGTTTGTTAGAAGGGCCGCCTCTCTGGGCCCCAGCCTGGGCATACTGAGCTAGTCTGTATTTTAACAGGCTCTCCGGGGCATCCTTAGGTATAGTAAGGGTTCCGGAAGCACCGAGAGAGAAGAAGCATCCAAATGCTGGAAATCTCTATTGTCAGGTCTGTGTCACAAGTCTCAGAGGGCAATTGACGTGACCCTTTCAGCCGCAGGTGCTCATACGTTATGACTGACCCCCGGATCGTGCTCGACCAGCCACGGGGAGAATCCCTTCCAGAAGACCCTGGAGGACTCTGAGGACAGGTGAGGTGTCTAGTTCTCTGATCAGCAAGATCCAGGGCGGGTAACACAAGCCGCAGAAGTTTTGCCTCTCCTGCCTTCATTCAGTGTATTTGCTGCTATGCGCGAGTTTATTAAAGGAGGCGGAGGCTCTGTCCATACCCGATCACCACTCTCGGTGACGGTGACGGTGTGCTGCCGGCATGTGGCACATAACATGGGGTAGAACCCACCATTTTTACTACCTACCTACTGCTACCTGAGGGCATGTCCCCACGACTGCACCTGCCTCAGGGATGCAGCCTCACTATCAGGAGGCTCTGCCTGACTTTCAGTTGTCCCCTTTCCTGAATGAATGGCTGAGGATGCCGTTGTCCATCAAGGGGTTCTGTCTGTGCTTTCGAGATGCTATCGACTCCCTTCTTTTTTAGGTTCCCCTCTGCCCTCAAAGGGCTGAGTTTGATGTCCTATATAAGCAGAAGTCAGCACCAAGGGTACTACATCACACCTAACCTCCTGAAGTGCCACCATGGGTCTGTCATGAGGATTCCCATAGCCAGGAAACATCAAAGGCTCTTGTGAAATACCAGCACTGCTGAGCTGTCCCTGCCACTCTGATCTCGGCTGCACAGAATTCGGAAATGTGGGCCACATCAAAGAGGCGTGTTCTTGTTGTATCTGCACTCACTATGGGCCTGGGGAGGTCCCGGACTTAGATGCCAAGCTCCTTCTTCTGATGAAGTAAAGACCAAGTTAAGACCGAGGCTAGTCACTGACAATCAAGTCGACCATGGTGATAAAAAGTGACAATACTCTCAGGATGGCAGATGCAGGCACGTTACCACATTTGGAGCTGTTTCAGAAGACGTGGGAAATGTACCGTAGACCCCCCCCCCCCCAGGAGCAGATTCTCAGGAGTCAATCCTCACACCAGTGCACTTTTCAAACATGTCCTTGTTGATCTGGATGCTTCTTCCCCACTGATTGGAAACCACTGGCATCTACAGAACACCCGGGCTGCACCCAAGGGAAGAGTCCCTCCAGGTACTGACCCTGGCCAAGTCTCGTGGTCACGTTAAGAATGTAAAAGGAGCAAGTCCCCAAAATATCAGCTGAAGTCCCACCTCAGAGCAATCAGGAAGAACTCCACTGGTTGGTCGCTCTGGGCGTGAGGCTGCGTGTGGGTACGCAATGCTTTCATATTGGTTAATGCTTGGCCAAATGGATGCTTAAGCACAATAATTTCATTATAAAATAAGGATATGCTTCATTGGATTGCAATTAACCAATATGAATCACTCGGGGAGATACGCATGCTGGGGGGAGATTTAGATTTGCGTCATGGAGTAATGTCACAGTTAACGGTCAGATGTGGATAGGGAAATACTTAATACCTGAACTACAGGAATATGTCCATGCAACACAGCAAAAGTCAGAGCCGTCCAATGGCGGGTCTCGGGGTGGACGGATGGATATTTATGAGGAGTACTGACAACCTATAAACAAATTGAAGTTATTTTTAAAAAGGTGACCTTCACAATATTTAGGCTTGCAGATTCTAGCCTATCTGTGGCCAGGCACACAGATTAGGGAAGTATCAAAAAGACATCCTGGCAGGTGCTTGGGCAAACGGCGGTGACGTCAGGTAGTGACTTCCCCTGTTGGAGGCCCCAAGCAACCTCTCACCAGAATTGGGCGCTGGTCCTGCTTGAGTTTCTTAGGAGAGATGCTGACGGAGCCTCCTGGAAGCAGGCCACTGGAGGTCTGTGTTTGGGGGGTGTTATCAATTGGGGCAGGGAAAGGTTTTTGAGCCTATGCTGTCTGTGCCTTCATCTCCCCCCTAAAAAGCATTAGCGTCCCTTCACTCATAGGGTGACGCTTTGGAAACCAACTTCTCTGCTGGTCTCTTTCCCTCTTACTGCTTAAGGAGGGCAGTGGTTCCGAGAGCTACAGGAAGTGAGGTAGCCCGAGACATCTATATCTACATTTAAGATCCTCAAAGGGGCTGGGTGAGGAGTAGGTCTGTCTCACGCTTCCACAGTAGAGAAGACAGTCGCTCATTTGAGAGAGGACGTCCCTGCCACTCTGCTCACAGGTCACCTAGCTTCTTAGTTGAAAAGGGCCCACATATAACTGGAAACACAGCCTCAAAACTTGCCCTGAACATGCCAAGAAGAAAGAATGAGAGACTGGCTTTCAGGATGGAGAAAGGGCCTTGGTTACGCCAAGCTGGGATGCAGTAGGGAAGCCGATGGCTGGAGGCTTGTGATATTAACACCACCAGCTCACAGTGATCTGCTCAGCATTCCTGGGGCATGTGACCTTGGCCTGAGTGTCCTTACAGTAGACAATGGCACTGAGCGAAACCCATGGGAGAGTCTGGAGAGGAGGATCAAAGAACGCCTCTAGCTGAGGACCTTGACAGGGCCTGTGATGCTTAGAGACCCGCAGCACTATGGGTCCCGTTATTACCTGACTTCTCTATCACTTAAAACTCATTAAGATCCAAAAGGGGTTTGGATTCAGAGCTATGTTTACTGTCTGCTTTCCTCAGATGAACATAAAACTCACCAATATATATTTTCTAAGTACAGGGCAGCTCTGAAGGGCATCTAATTTTGAAGCAAAAAGGTTTCCTAGAGTTGCTGGTTGACGGCTGCAGCGTGCCAATCTCCTTGACATCTGCAGCTGCCAAATGCTGGCTGAACAGGCCTTCAGGCAGCAAAGAACAATAAAAAAGCGAGGATCCACTTATTTTGAATCTCGGGGTGGTTTGGAGCAACTACTATTAACCGAGTCCCAAGCGTGGCTAGGTGCCTCTGCTAGGTGCAGATCACAGCTGGGCACCTCTACCGGGCATCAGTTCCTTCCGACAATGTGTGCATAGTTCATCTCATAAGCCACACCACTTCTTGAGCATCAAAGCAAGTGGTAGTTCAGAACTTGAACCTAAGCCTGTCAGATGCCAAAGCCTTCAGGGAGGGGAGCTTCAGTTTCCAGTCTACTGTACTGCATCCCAGCAGCTTTGAGATAATTCAGCCAACAAAAAAGTGAGTCAGTGGGGCTGGGGATGAGGGGAAGACAGAGGATATCAGGAAGGGGAACCTCAGCCCAGGGAGCCAGGACAGCTTGTGCCAGGCTTGAGGAAAAGGCTGGGATGCAGGAGTTTGCGTCCCATCCCAGAAAGGATGAGTCGGGAGCTAGGAGGTGCTCAGCCAAGGTAAACCAGAGCTTCCTGCAGCTACCGCTATTGTTTCAAACAAAGCACAAGTGGGGGTTGCTACTTGGGGCTTTGGTTGTGACCTCAGTCTGTGACATGGTCTGCCAGGTGATTTCACCATGGCTGCAGTCACTGGAAGGGTTGAGGAGTGTGTGAGGGTGTGAGGTGTGTGAGGGTGACTGGGAAGGGAAAGTCTGAGCTGGCAGGATCTGCCTACAGCCCCCTACACCCTCACCTCCACGTTCAGGTCAGCTCCGGCATCCAGCAGCATCTGCACCATCGCCTCGTCCCCGCGGACACAGGCGTACATCAAGGGGGTCATGCCCTGCTGTGGTTAAAACCAGAGACGGAGACGTTTACAAGGTGGCCATGGTCGGTTGGCAAACACGTGGGAGGTCTTATTAGTGTGTGTGCTGCTCAGACTGTGGCAGGACAAAAGAGTTAATGTGGGGACCTGTGACTCACAGGGTCACAACCTTCCACATTCTGGAAACTGCGGTGGAGGGGTGAAGGGGGTGGTATCACCCTTAGCACCTATCTTTGCTTAAGTTGGAGGGCTTTCCTGAACTTCATGGTACAGCAGACCTAAGTGTGTTTTTAAGACAAGTGGCTGATTGTGATGGGGGTAGGGATGGTTCATAAGAACTTTCTGGATACTGTAACACCAACCCTACACCATTTAACTACAATGAATACAGTTTCTTCGACAGTTCTATCCTTCTCAGTGTGACAAAGTATCCTTGTTGCTTTATATGGGCCTTGGGTCAGGCAGATGTCTATCAAGGGTAACGGGACATCCTTGAGCACGTGGCCACCTACATTGACATCTGTCCTCCCAACACCCTTTACAAGCACAAGGCTACTGAAGCAGGGTGGCCTTCAAGAAAACCTTCCCTGCTCGGCCTCCTTGCTCATCACAAACCGAGCACCACAGCCTACAGGGGACGGAGTTCTCCATCAACAGGGTTGTGAAGTCAGCTCCTTGGGAAAGTGTCCATCTCCAGCCTTATCTCGCGTGACATGCCAATATAACCTTTAGTTTTACGAGAGGTAGCTAGCAAAATTAAAATTATAAGAGATACCAAGTTGGTTTCGGGATCCACTTCTAGGCATAAAGCCAATGAAAAATGTCACGTGTGAAAATTATTCTAGCATTGGTACCGTGCAATTGAAAACATTATAAGCAAAAATTCCAAAGTCAATGACAGACTGAGATGCACTTGTCACATTACAGGACTTTGTTCCTAATATAGAAAGGATTTCTCTAAGTAAACAAGAAAACAGTAATAATGCCAATAAAAAGCAAAGGAAAGCAGAAGATGAACAGGAATACATTTGTAATCAGCGGGAGCACAAAGACTAGTCAGGCCCCTGGGTGCGGGGAATGAACTCGGGAAAGCCTGGTGCATTTGAGACACTACTTCCATCTTAAAGAAACATTTCCCCAAGGAAATAGAGATCGGAACAAAGATTTGTCTAACATAAATATTTTAAATATCTGACATTGGGAAGATGGTTAATGAATAAACACTGCAATCATTTTATACAGATACTAAAAGCAACTTACAAAAGAATATTCAATAGCATTACAAGGTATCTGAAATATAAAAAAATTGAGAAAAGATATAATAAATCCCTGCTTTTAAACATAAAAGATACATATGATTGTGTGATAGGGATCCTTGATGTTGTTCAAGAAAAATAGTGCCTTCTACCCTCTTCATGGATCTCTTGCAAAGAGCTGCCTGGGGAAGAAACGGTCCCTCCTGTCCCTTGTAACTCTGCACTGGGGGGACCAGCTGTCTGTTTTCTCTTTCTGTGACACCACCACCTCCCCAGGGTATCTCTGCCTATGGATGCCTCTAATCTACCACGAGTTTCAGGATCTGCTGGGCACTGCCATGTCTGGGTGATGCCCTAGGGTCCCCAGACTGACTTTGGTGTCTCTTAAACACTCTCTAAGAGGACGGTGTGGTGAGATCTGTCTTGTTTCAATAGCAGACCGACAGAGAACTGACTTTAACATGCTAGTAAAGAGACCTCAGGGTCGCAGAGTCTTAAGAACAAGCGATGGGCAAGCTAATGACATTATTTCCTTTCCTGAACAGGTCTAATTTTCACTCCTTTGTTTCAGCTGCAATGATCATGTGAGCTTTCCACGAAGAAGGACAAGTGTATTTTTTTTATAAGATTAAAAAAATCCAAAACACTAAAAAAAGAAAAAAAAACGGAGGAGGGGGAATTATTATTTTAATATTATTATTATTGATCAGCAGAGGGAGCCGGTGTCCTGCTAGCTGCTCACGCCCAGTACCAGCACTGAGAAGGTGCGGTGCGGTGCGGTGCCAGCGGATTGGTACCTGTTCGCTCATGGTGTTGATTCCATCGGGCCCCAGCAGAGACACCGCCTGCTTCACCAGGTCGGTCCGTCCACAGTTGAGCATCCGGAAGCCCAAGTCCTGCTTGAACTTGGCTTCAATGGCCACGGCGTCCAGCTTCCGAGAAGCACAAAAGCAGTCGTCCGCCCTGAGGAGGGAGAGATGGTCACGTGGGTGCTGTCGGCTTTTTTTTTTTTTTTTTCCTTCCCAGGGTCTGGTCCCTGAGAACAAACTTCCCCCAGCAAGCTCCACCAAGTTCCTCGTTTGCTTTTCCTGCAAATTGCCTGTTCTAGGCTCCGAGTTAAAACAACTGTCTCCTGGTGGCTATTAATCCTCTGTCCTTGCCGTGGCTGGGTCTGGTCCCTTATCTGTGTGCCAGAAGGTAAGAACTGTTATGCACATATTTATGGAGTGTTTATATAGATTAGGTCCTCAGCTAAACATCTTATATGAGTTGGTTCACTCAATTCCCACACAAGAGAAGGCAGAATTCCTGTGAGAAACTTGAAACCTCTGGGAAAGAGGAACGAGGAACCCCACCCCCCACCCCAGGCCACTCCATTTGCAAGTGACAGAGCCTGGATTTGAACCAGAGTAAGCATGTGTGGAGAGCCAGTCTTTGGATCTACTGTGCCACCCTGTCCCCCAAGCGTAGCATCTACTGTTTGCTCGTTCATGTGTCTGACCCTTCACACTAGGCCTGTGGACTTCTGAACAGGCTTTTATTTGCCTGTGTCCATTCCCGTGACAGACAGGAGATATGAAGGCATTAAGAAATGAAGAGTAGGAACACAGGATGAAGTCGCTACGTTCCAAATACAACAAGCCAGAGAACTTGCCGGATGAAATGAGAGATGGCAAGGTGCTTCATGGAGAAAGGGGGAAGGGATCGGATGGGAGAAGGTGATACAGGCTCCATGTTGAGAGGACATTGCTATTTTCTCCCAGTGAATTGACCAATTATCATTAAATCAAGTTACTAAGCATTTGTAGAGTGCCCTGCTCTAGCTAGCTGTCATATGTCACCATCCCTGCTTGGGAAGCCCGGGTGAGGGAGAGGACAGGCACGGGCCATAATTCCATGTATCTAATACAAAAATATTGAGGGCTTAGAGACACTATTTCTAGTGAAATACGTTATGGGACTAAAGGCCTCTCTGCACCACACACACCCTAAGGAAGCTTTGTCTTCCTAGGAAGTTGACCCCTGAGCTGTGGTTGTAGGTATGGGAGGGGGCAGAAGAGGATGGAGAGACCCAAGACTTAGCTTCAAACATGGCATCAGCATCCTAGACTTTGGGGCACAAAATAGGACTGTGTCTTGGTCTAGTGCATGTGGGCTTTGAACTTGGCTAGAGTTGCCAGATCAGGCAAATACAAATGCTAAAGCAACAGTACACGAGGCATCTTTATATCAAAGCTTTGTCCATTGTTTATTGAAGATAGAAATTTAACTGGCTTTCCTCTTTTGTCTTCTGGAGAAGGGCACCGCCAACTATGCAGAGAAACTTAGGATCCCCCTCCTTTAGTGTGGTGGCAGGGACTAAAGGTTTAGCCAAGGAAGCTTGTTACACCAGACTAACAGGGCAAAACCCTAGGGCACAGAGCACAGAGGCCTCCAGGGGGCGTAAGTGTGGCATTTATGTGTGTTTCCCTAATGTACCAGGATCCTCTGTGTGTGTGTGCTTATGAAAATCTCTGGGAGTTGATTCATTGCATGTACAACCTTTCTTCTGCTAGATGCTAGCCATGCTGGAAGCGGCTGCTTTGGGAAATCACGCAGCTCCCGTCCTGGGGAAAAGAACGCGTGAGCTAGAGAAAGGGCAGGGGTGCCTTGGAAGGCTGATTCTGTGGCACGACTCAGCTGTTACGCACTGGAACTCACAGCAGCTGTGGTTACCTGGTCAAGACCTGTACAAGCCTGAGCCTGTCAACATTTCACACGGAGGGAGAAGACGTTCAGGTAGTTAATGGCTTCTGAGGGGTGTAGGAAGACATTTTCTCCAGTGGTGTAGCCACTGTTAATGTGCCCATGCTCCTGAAAACAATGCGAGTAAGACTCACTGGGTTATTAAAAAAGCAAAAACATGGAAACAGAAGAGGACTATTTGGAAAGAGAGAGGGGATCAGCAGGAGTTAGGAGACAAAAACAGTGACAGAGTGGGGAATACGATCAAATATGATATAACTCTGTGAAAGATGTCATGATGAAACCCAATATATGTAATTAATACACACGAATAAAAACAGTAAAAAGGCATTCCCTTCTGGGGACAGATATGAGTGACTACTGTCACATAAAAACCCACCTAGTCATTTCTTCTTGTCTCTAAGTTCCTTCCGATAGCCTCAGTACTTCATGAGCTCATTCAGATATGTGGTTCCCCCCTTTCCTTGCAATCAAGCTACATTCCATGTGACTGGGCAAGCATTGCCAATGCCACTGTGTGTCACACCCCACACCAAGGAGCTCCAGAGGACGGGGGCAGAGGCTGGGTTCACAGGACTCAAAAGCTTATGAACAGATAATTCTAAGAACATCACAAGTGTTTACCAGCTCCTGAGGTCCTTGATTTTAATTAGAAAGAGACAAATGGCAGGAAAATTACTGCAGCTAAAATGATGATAATTGTTATTACAGGAAGCTGATGTTTACTAAATGAATACTCAGTGTGGCGACCTAAACTCCCTCTGTGTGTTAACCCATACCATCATCATGGTGAGCCCCAGAGCTAAGGGCTATGTACAGCCTACTACAACAATGAGGAAACTGAGGCAGAGGAATTACCAGAGATACAGATGCTAAAGGACAAGCTGGCGTGTATCGGGGTGACCTAACTGTTGGGGGTCAGAGGGCTCTGAACCAAAATATTATTTTCTGTCCATGTGTTTAACTTCTATTAGAGCTGGACTGTTGGATATCTCTTAGACCTTTAAGTTCAGCGTCTCCATATGAACTGTATGAACACCTCTGTCTGCACCCTTTGAATGTGCTCCTGCTCACCCGGGTGCTGAAACTGGAATCTGGCCTCCCACCCACATCCATCCCAACAGCACCCAAATCCCAAATCCATCCCCCTTGCCGCCATCATGGCTCTCGATGGGTCCCAGAGCACGTCTCTGGGTGGAATAGTGTAGGAGTCTGATGGTCTTCTCGGTTCCATTCTCCCCACCCCATGTCACCTCTCACACAGTCAGAGTGAGTGTCAATGTAGGCAGGGTCCCTTGGGTCCTTTCTAAAGCCTAGCATATTAGGGATAAATTTTGGCTTTTGGTACAGAGCTAAGGTCTTTCCTGCCCCAAGGACATTGCCCCTGTTTCTTTCCCTTGGGAAGCCTTCCTTGGGGCTCTTTGTAGGGGTGGCTCCTCCTTGTCCTTCATGGATAAACTTGACCATAGTCCATCAGACCACCTATAGAAAGGTGCACCCTTCTCTTGTGTACACGCTCATCTCATGGTCAGCTCCCTCTGCCCCCTTGGTGGCATCTTCACAGTTAGTGACTAGTTTTTTTTTTTAAAACACACACACCCAAAGCCATCAAATTTCATTTAATTAATGGGCTGATCTCTCTGTGTGTCTCTCTCTGTCTCTCTGTCTCTGTCTCTCTCTCTGTCTCTCATATGTGTATGTGTGCACACACAGTGCACATGTCTAGGTCAGAGAATAACTTTGGGAGTGAGTTCTTTTCTTTCCCTATATGGGGCCCAGATCCAGTTCGTGACATCAGCCTTGGTAGCAAGGCCCTCACCTGCTGAGTCATGTTGCCAGCTCCTAGATAAATTGTTTTTTTTTTTTTTTTTCCTTACCAGCATGTCTAAGTCCAGGGCCAGGACCACACTCAAATTGTTCTCTGCTGTAAGCAAAGCAGAGTGAATGCAAATAGCAAGAACTGACAGGGGAGACAGGTGTGTGCTACCTACCATGTGTTCTTTGTTTAAACATGGAGACTTAATCTTAACTGACTGCTAAAAATTACACATATGTGTTTATAATGTAAACGTAGTACTTAGGAATATGTACACGCTGTAGACTGGGCAAATTAAGACAAGGTGTTACCTTACACGCTGAGCATGTCTGTGATGAGGGTGGTTCAGGTCTCTCTTTTTCCTCCTCATGCATGCTGGACAAGCAATCCACCAACTGAACTATGTCTGCAGACCCAGATCTACTTGCTTAGCAATTTTCAAGTATGCAACACAAGGTTAAAAACTATAGTTCCCATGTTTTATAGCAAATATCCTGAACTTACTTCCTCTGGTCTAATTGAAAGTTTGTATCCTTCAACTCACACGTACCTCTCGACCCTTTTCTGCTCACGGCGCTCCACTCTCTGCTCTTCAGAGAGCAACGTTTTCAGGTTCCACATGTAGGTCCACATTTGTCTTTTTATGCCCAGTTTATCTCATTTAACATAATGTCCTCCAGGTCCATCCACGTTGTGATGACAGAATTTCCTTTGGAAAAGCTGACTAGTGTTCTGTTGTAAACACCCCCCCACCTCCACACCACCTTTTCTTTATCCATCCATCTGCGGATGGACAGTTAGGTTGACTCCACTTAATTTCTGTAAATGAAGCTTCAACTTGACATGATGCTATGACCTATCGCAGTGACTACTGACTTCCTTTAGGTGTCCACCAATATGACTGTAGGATTCTACCATGGTTCTACTTCAAAATATTTTTTTTTGAGGAACCTCCACATTTTGACAATGGTTGCATTTATACATTCCCACCGACAAGGCACTCGGATTCCTTTCCCTTTGACCATAGCAATTTTACCAGGTGGAATTGCATTTTTTTTTGTCTTTTTATGGTGACATTTTATTGTCATTTTAATGTGGAACTCTCTAATGACCAGTGATGGCTGGCATTTAAAAATACACTTACTGTCCATTTGTCTTCTTCTAACAAATGTCCCTTCAGGTCCTTTGCTCTTTTTTAGGTTGAGTTATTTCCTTGTTGCTTTTGAGTTGATTACATACTCTGGCTGATCACACCCTAGCTGACGTGTTTGCAGACGTGTTCTGCTCTGTGTAAGGACCACACGCTGTGCGTCTTTTATGCTCTGTTCATTCGGCTGTCTCTTTGCTGTTGTCTCATTTGCTGTGCAGAGACTTTTAAATTTGATGCAATTACATTTGTCTA